GCTATCAATCTGCTATCAGATTCTGTGAGCAGGCTTTGCTAGCAGATCGTAAGCCTAATGCGGACATAACAGATGCCAATTTGCTCGCAACTTTTTAGTATATCTGTTGCCAATCTGCTGGCATATTGCGCGCATTTTGCTTACTGGGAATGAGCTAAACTCACCCAAATAGCACAATAATGTTTTAAAAACATAGGTACTGGACGTTTTGTACATATTTAAACTATTCAGATTATATCCTCTGACATTTGTAGAATATTCTAAAGATGTACAGTGTTATTTTTCTGGACATTTTAAAATTGTCTATTTTAAGTATCTAATGAGAGTATCACAAATAGATCTATGTAAAACGTTTTTCTCAATTCAAATAGACATACAAGATAGTAACAAATAAACTCGGATTTACATTAAAAATGAGTAACATATTTAAGTAGGAGAGAACAAGATCATGGCATTAAGCGATTTGGACCGATCATCAATTACAAGAAAGAATATCTCTAATCATGTGTTTGACGGTATGTTTGTGTTAAAAAACCCAATATATTGCCAAATACATTTAGAGATATTCTTTCTTGTAAATGAGATGATCAATCTCACTAAGCACCGTTCCCCGTTCTCCCCTAATTAGTAAAATCTACTTAAAAAAATTAAAAACAAATTTAAAGTAGGTAATGCAGCTACATACATATGTCACTTTGCTAAACAATATTTAGTAGAGCGTGAGATTGATAATCTTGCCACGCGGGTTCGAGTCCTGTCGTGATTTTCGTTTTTTTCTCTATATATATATTTTTTCTTTTTATTAAAATTTGCTATTATTTCACACTAATTTTCAATTTTTACATAGTTTTTTTATTTTCAATAAATCAATGTTAAAATATTAAATAATTATATATGTCAATTTTTATTTACTCTTATTATTATAATTGTAATAACTTTAAAATATAAACAAATTAAAAATTATTGTAAAATAATAAAATTTAAAAAATAAGAGAAAGAAAAAATAGGAGTTACGACGGGACTGGAAGAATTAGTAAAATCATTAACCCTATGCTCAACCACTGCACTATCAAATTAATTAGGATTTAGTTCTACAAAACTGAAGAATATTGCGCAGCATGTACATTAAACCAAAATGGCTTAATAAGATGGACATTTTTAAAACATTCAAATATAAATACACTTCGTCTAATAATGTACATTCTTAAAACATATGATGTTTAGTCGAAACGTTTCGACTAAATAAAACCGAAATTTGGACGTCCAATGAACGTTGTGTGCTGTCTGGGCAGGTGATTTAGTAGACCACTCAATATCACCTCTCCTGCTTATTTATGAACCAGAAAAAAACAATTTATCCACCCACCGAACCACCCACACACACGCGCGCGCATATACAAAATAAAGATTTAAAGAGTGACCCTATAAAACCTTTCTTTTTCGCTCCTTTCGTCAATCTCATGAATCCGTTCGGAATTTGGTCTAAATATTAGTTTATGATGATACAATAACGTAGGTAGATAAAATTTCAAGATAAGCATAGAAATGGTTTCGGATTTATATAAGATCAAAGTTGTCGAATCCACTGAGCAAATCTTGCGATAAAATAGTAAATTCCAAAATAAATGGTAAACCATAGAACTAGCAATCTAAAGCTCATAAATCACAATTTTTCAACCAGAAAACCCAAAACCCACATATCCAGGACTCATCGAGCCTTAAATTACAAATTTACATACAAGTTATCCCATTTCAAAGTAGTTTCTGGAACATTGATTTAACAAAACATTTTAGACAAAAATGTTTCAGATAAAAAGTTGTAGCGCATTAAGAGGAACTTCTTTTTGACGTCGGTGAAGAAGCTTACATATTATTGTAGTATATTGCAATAATATACCTAAACCTAATCAATATTGTACAGAATTACAGTTTCAATGAATCACAACTTTGAGCTTCCATATATCTGAAACTATTTGTATGCTCATTGAAATTTTATCCAGGTAATTATAGCATCAAAAACTAACATTTAGACCACACGGGATTTATGAGGTCGACAAAAGGAACGAATTTTGGAGTCACACTTTGACTATGCAATCTCCACGCAATACACTTTGGATAATGTTGACAGTATTGTACCTTTCAAGTCTTATAAATCGAAAAAATGTAATCAATGAAAAAATACTTTATTGTAGTGTTTTGGAAAGCTCTCGAAAATAAGCTACGAGAATACGTAATAAAAATAGGGTTTTGTTTACAAAACGCGACTTTGAGAACTCTACTCAAACTCTTATTAACATTAAGTAAATTTTGTTTATTTAAGTGTAAGCCCTACAAATTATCTCTTTACATATTTTTTGGTTACATTTCGAGATATTTTAGTTAGAAAGTTCGTTTCTGAACTTTCAAAGGATCTTTGGTTACATTTCGAGATATTTTAGTTAGAAAGTTTGTTTCTGAACTTTCAAAGGATCTTGTATAATATATATTATATAGTAATATAAGTATACAAAGTCCTTGTATAGTAAGTATACAAAAACTTTGTATATATACATGTCCGCATATAAGTACCTTGATTGCGGTAAACTCTTCACTGTTTCTGTTTACTTTGCCTTTCTCAGCCACTATCTCGCTGTATAAAATATTTAAGCTTTGTTGCATTGTTAGCGCGCAATTTGTTTTGTTAATGTCTCTTGCTTTTCCTAACGTAGTTTTAATAATATCACCATAATCGTTGTAATATTTAACATAGTGTTTAAATACATCAGCCGCGGCTTTTGTAGGAATCATATTATACACAATTAATTTGCAATAACTAGCTAAAAAATTTCTTCGTTTATGCAATTCTTCAATTTTTGAGTGTTCATCGTGTTCATCTGCAAAATGTTCGAGATTAATTAGATATGCGTTGTATATATTTTAATACATTTTTTTCAAAAATGTTTATGTAATTACTTACCATCTTCTTCTTCAAAAAAGACATATTCCTGTATAAATCTGTTGAGCATATTCTGTATTGCTGGATCAGGCTCATAAACTAACTGATGCATCAAAGGATCATTATGAGAAGTAAGTTGATTGCAAAACACTACTAATAAATCACACATCGTATTATATGCTTCTTCTCTCAAGATTTGCGATCGCTATATAAATATTGTTTATGAAAAAAATTATAATAATTCTAGATTTATCATGTAAAAAGTATAAATTTTTGCCTTTAATAATTACCGTATTAGTATTTTCAGTACTATCATCCGAAGACACAGTGACAAAATGACGCATCGAACCCATAAATGAATGCAAGCGTTCTTTTAATTGCCGACATTCGTCCTCACCACGACTACCCGAATCCGCATCCATCACTTGAAGTTGACCCCATAAAATGGCAAAAAAGCACGCACTTATACAATATTTAACTGCTTCATACGGTAAACATCTGCAAATAAAAATAATAAATTGTTTATGTCTCTGACATGTAATATTTTATATTATAATAGCTTTAATTTATAAATATAGCTTCAATATATTTAATAAAATATATAAAAAAATGAAATACTTTGAAGGATCCTTTGCATCTTCAATGTCCTTGTACAATGAATCCCATATACCCCATGGATTCATATTATGACATGAATAGAAGATGGACACTTTTTTGAGCGACTGTACAACGTTAAATATTTCATCTTCGTCTGGTTCTTCATCACCTTCAATTAGATTTCTATACTCGTCGATCGCTTCTTTATATTTGTTAACGATAGAATCAATTAAAGTAGAACGAGCGACATCACATCTAAAACAACACAAGTAAATAAGACATGTACTCTTGAAGCAAATAGTATATAGATTATCAGGGAAATGGAAGGAAAAGCTACATACCTGGTAAAGATAGCATTACTTTCCGCACACATATATTCCAAAGTTTTAGCTGCCGTATCTAGAACTTCAGTGTCGTGCATTTTTTCCACAATGGTGTGAATTTTATTTAATAAAGAATCCAGATTCATTTCTTGCCTAGATTTAGTGTAAATATCTAAATCAAAATATTGAGGGATCGCAAGCAAGTTAGCTAACTTTTCTGGGTCTGCTCTATACTTATCAAGTAACAGTGGTAACGTTTGAATAAAGTGTTCTGTCAATCTTTGCTTATCATCTTGTACTTGTTTCTGTTCTTTAACCGATAAGATTTTTCGCGTGGATCCGCGACCGACCGGTGCTTCACCCGTAGCAGCTTGTTTTATGCAACATACCATTAACTCGATAAGAGACGTTTCTTTCTGATTATCTAACGCTTCTTCGTCGGGACCAGCCTCCTCTATTAGAAGATCTGTCATACACTCCCAATCTTTCATCATTTGATTGGTCTCAATTAGAGAATCTACTAGATACGCTCCATGTTCGTGCAACTCGGATTCAATGAAAAACAGAACAAGGTCGCGTATAAGCGGTGTATTCGGCAATCGTTTCTTGCCGCGTCTGGTCTTAACACCTTCTACAGCTTCGTCATCCGGGCGGAATAAACGCTCATTTAAAAATTCACCTGCTGCTTGAGCAACCGCGCGATGTGACGAATAAACAAGCTCATAAACGTGCTCACAGTCTTTATCGGTGAGAATTTCTCTATGATGTTTTAAAATTGAAATAACCAGCTTTACAGCTTGAACAGCCACATCGTATTCCTTATCTAATGTCATCGCAACGATTCGGTCTTTAAATTTGCTTGTGAACAACTCGAGTTTCGTTTTTAGCTCTTCCGAAGCATACAATGGTTGCAATGCCTGCAGACACTTAAGTCTGACTTCTCCAACTTTATCGTGTAAGGTCCAGCCTGCAAGAAAATAGATTGTATATTAAAATTAATAACTTTTGTAAACATTTTCTATTATACTATATATAAAAAAAGAAACTTTTCTGCATGTACCAATATACTTCAAATATGAATCATCCAAGAAATTTTGATGAAACTTTTTCATCCAAACACCAATTTCTGCCATACAAATTGCACGTATTTCGGGTAACGTATCTCTATATCTATGAACAAAAACAGACTTGAACATATATGTAAGCATATTTTTTATTTCGTCCATGTTCTCTTCCAATTCTTTTCGTTTTGCCATCAAAGATTCTAATCTGTCTGCTGCTCTTTTTTCTCGAGCTTTCTGTCGCTCAGCTTCATATTGACGTTGTGTATTATCCAGATTTATAGACACAGTTAAAGCAACATCTACTAACGCTGTCATCAATTTCATAGCTAAAGATGCAAAAGAAAATAATACAATTATTCTTTTAAGAAAATAGGGAAGAGGTAATAATGAGCTGTACACCTGATGTTCGGGTAAAATGTTTCTTTATTCCAAAGATTTAACAATTGATGCAAACGTTTTGATCCACTATGGGATCTTCTTCAGTGTCTAGTTTGAGGGAAAACAGGGGAAGTGGCAACTCAGTAACCGTTTTCCTGTATGCAGCTGACGGTTATTGAGTTGCCACCTCTCCTTTTTTCCCTCAAACTAGACACTGAAGAAGATCCCATAGTGGATCAAAACGTTTGCATCAATTGTTAAATCTTTGGAATAAAGAAACATTTTACCCAAACATCAGGTATACAGTTCTTTATTGTCTCCTCTGTATTTTCTTATTGAAACATATCACGAGCACGAAACATAATTTAATTATTCTTTTATTGTATATTTTATATGTAGAGCTATGTTCAAAAACGTCACTTGCGTGCAAACATCATTCTATCTTTGTTATATCTAATAATGAGCGATAAAGTGCACGAGTGTTTTCAAACGCAGCCCAGCATAACATTTATTTACTATATTTATTATATTGAACTTATTTATTATTTACTATATAATTTACTATATTGAACTTATTTATTATTTACTATATTGTACTTATTTATTATTTACTGTATTTACTATACTGTCTTTACTTATTATTTACTATATTTCCTATTTTGTACTTATCTATATTAGTAAATTGTCTAGCTTTCTCAGACTTACCTGCAAGTGTTGCAGTATGTCTGAATGCTCTCACTTGTGAATCTGAGAGTCCAGTTAACAAAGAGATAATATTATCCATCAAAAACTGATCATATATAATAGAGTACTGACACTGTCGAACAAGAATCTGAACAAATTCACAAAAATTGGCGCGAAATTTTTTCCATTGTTGTCCAGTCATTATTAAGGGATATTCACCACTTTCCTAGAAAGTAACGTAGTAAAAATAAATGTAATATAAATGTAATAGTAAAAATACATGTTATGTGCAATTAACAAAATATATTATATGTAGAAAATATACTTCATCAAATTCTTCAGTCATCTTGCGAATAATTGCTACATGTTCCATAGTTTGTTGCATCTCAGGAGTGATACTACCTTTGCAACCACTAGCATTGATAAAAAATTGCATCAGCATAAGCAATGCATTTTCTCTGTTACTCTTGTACTTCTCTATCCAGTCATCAACAATGGTCTAAATATTAAATGTTATTGCAATATTAAATGTTATATTTGTAAATATAAAACTATTGCTATATAAATTTTTGTGTCATTATATTTAATTATATTGAACTAATTCCATGGAAATAATAATATATTAATATTAAGTAATGAAAACATACTGTAAGTGATGTACGATTGTTTTTTATTATAGAATAAAGACTAGCTTCATCTTCAGAATTCTGAGAATGATGTGTCTTTTTGCCACGTCCTCGTCCACCACTACTTCTCCCTTTGATAGCAGATGGAGTATATTCTGTATCAATTTCTTTATATTTTGGTTGCTGCACTACACCTCCTTTTAAATTCACCATAATTATTGTTTGCTATATAAAATATTATCTCACCATAAATGTATATACATATATGTATACAAACAAATATAAACATACCACGCATTCTAGCACGTGCATTACGTGTTATTCTAACATTGGGTGTCATAGGAGCTTCAAATTGTGTCTGATTGTCAAAATTTGCAGACTGTTCCTGATATTGTTGTTGAGATGTACTTGGTGAACTATAGCTCTCGGAAGAATAATGTTCTGGACTATAAAAATATTAATTGTTACATATATCACTATTGCATAAAAATATTAATTGTTACATATATCTTATTATTGCATAGTAAGACATATGTAACAATTAATATTTTTTGTTCATATATCTTATTCTTGCATAATAAAATATATGAACAAACTTAGTAGTACAGTACTAATAATAGTTATGTTCAGAAAACAACAGTTGTACAACAGTTGAGAGTGTTGCTTGTGATTGAATCATATATGTTTTAGATAATAGATTATTTGTAGAAAAATAGTCCTATTATATACACAAGTAATAAGTATACAGATAATAATCTCTCAAAAATTATTACAGATAATAATCTCTCAAAAATTATGCAATTGTTGAGCTTTCTAAACATAACCAATGAAATAAATATTTACGTTGGATTGTGCAGTGGTGTTTGTGAAGCATGATTATATGACATATATGCATTATAAGACTCGTTCGCATCTCCACCAGAATTATCATTCATAGGCGTCGAAGGAGTCATCGGAGTTTCATATTCTGGCGGTACAGGATCGTCCATCCGAATCCGCTTCCCACCTCTTCTATGCATCATGTTGACGTTTTCACCGATTTAACGCTAATAAAAAGACGTATCCAATCTCACTGATAATGTCAAATGCATAAGCTATTTCCTTCAATTTTTTTCGAAAAAATTGTAGAAAAATAAAAACTCACAATTCAAATGTATACCAGCAGTTATATAAAACACTCACATTTATAGCTTTTTCACGCACAAAGTATACACATCACATAAAACGCTTACAAATTGTTTACTGTTCACTTATGGATGCTTTCCAGTCAGTGTTGCAAACTCTGGCCGGCTCAAGTTGCGTTCGGAAACATCACTAGTGTATATTTTATCTTTATTACTCATTATATATAAAACAAAGATAGAATGACGCTCGTGTGTACACGAGTGCTGTTTCCGAACGTGACGTCAGTGTACGATATTGGAGAGGCTGTACGCGCATGCGTGACGAAATCNGAGAGAATCCAGTAACGTATGGCTGCGTTCGTGTTTTACTGGCAGTACTGAAAATCTATAGATTCGTGTCACGTATACTATAGATTTTTCAGTACTGCCAGTAATAACCGAACAGGGCCTATATGGCCTGTTCTACAATACAGTCGTAAGCCGTAAGTCGTAAAGGGTCGTCTACAATGGAGAGTTTTAGACCGTAACAGTAAGAAATTGACAAATCACAATCGATTATTCTTCTGTACTTTGTCTGTGATCGGTCAATTTCTTACTATTACGGCCTACAACTCTCCATTGTAGACGGCTCTTAAGAAATTGACCGATCACAATCAATTATTCTTCTTTAATTTGTCTGTGATTGGTCAATTTCTTACGACTTACAGCTTACGACTGTATTGTAGAACAGGCCTATATAAAGATGTGCGTATATCAGGTGTAACATTGCGCATAATGGCGGCTGAATACAGAAAGAACCAATCAACCCTGGCTAGTACTGTGCCGACCTGAAGCTCAATGTTACGGTGCAGACAATATAGTAGCAGAGAGAAACCTGAGAGCGGCCATCCTAATGTAAATTTTTACGACGGTTTCAGCCGCTGGTTTTAGCCGTATTTCCACAAAAGTGGAACTCAAAGGCCGTTCTACATTAAACGCAAGTAGCAGATCTC